TGAGAATACAAAATATTACAAAAAATGTAATTGATTTATATATAATACGTTTATTTGGTTGAATTTATGTATATATTTTAGTGGGCATGGATTAACACAGTTGGCTTTATTTTTTTGTATTATTTAAGAATGCTTACAGAAAACTGCACCTGTCAGACTGAAGCTGTGTTAATTTATTGCTCTTGGTAATTGAACACTGACAAGGCATAATTTTAAGTTGCCCCATGATTTGGAACATTTTATTGTACAACAATTTTAAAAACCAATTGTTTACCGCCCAAAGCCAGTTTTATGCATCACTAAAATTGCCCACGGCTGTCACTAGGTCCTTTCTTGTGTTTGAGGCTGTGGCAGGATGTGGGATTAAGTTTGTTGTGCTGTGGAGGCTCAGCCACTCGTGTCTATGCTGGTTATAAGAGAAGGACCTAAGTTTAAGCCAGTTTTGTGCCACACCTGATGTTCTCAGCCTGGCTCCCTGACAGCACACTTGCACTGGATTTACAGAAGTAGAGTGGTGGCATTTGGGCCAGTTTGAGAGTAGGGATCAACACTTATCTACTGAGGCCATGGGATGGTGTGGAGAAATTTGCTGGCTTCAGTGGGATTGTGGAAATATAAACTGGAAGTATGCAACTTATTTATCAGTCTACTAGAGGAGTAAAAGCAATATTTACTCCATAAGACAGTGTTTTAACTGGCTGAGACAAAGCACCGTTGTGGTCATTTATTTATTATACCTCTAAATTTGCTGCCTTATCAATTTTAGAAGGCACCTTGATCCAGTTAATGCTGACGGTTGTCCTTGCTAGCTAAAACCTGTTATTTTTTTATTCAAATACATCCACCACCGCTGATTTGGTAACTGGAAAAGATGCCAGACAACTTGAGAATGTGAGCACCTTGCCATGGTTGAACTGGCACCACCGTGTGGCTAAGTATATCCCAGCAGGAGTACTGCATTTGAGCTAAACAGGATAAAATCAGCAGGGGAAGATTTCTTATGCTCTCAGCCACCAACAGAGTTCAACTTAACGCCCATTCCAGCCTCAGAGCCCTCCTGCAGGACAGCAATTGAAAGCAAATTAAATGCATTTTGGAAACTAGTGTTGCTTTATTTGGCAAGGACTTCTCATTATGCTTCATTTGAGACAGAAAGTTGGAGTTAAGGCAATATTTGTATTGGATTTGTATTGGATATTATTGTTCCCAAAGCAGAGGTTGAACCTCACTATTAGGTCAGCGGTGATAACTCCCAACCTGCCAAAATTTCTGCCGTGGTTTAAATACCAAATTCATCACACCACCTCCTTTATTTGTGCTTTTCAAAATCTCAGTATTTACAAAACCTTTTTCAAATAAATGGAATTTATTTTATGTGTGTCAATTCAGACTTCCCACAGTCCATGGGATTAGAATTCAAACCGTTAAAAAGCCAAGCAATTCACTGGGCTGAAGGAGTGATCAGTGGGACCATGTAGGTGTCTAACAGAACAAAACAATTTTTGGCAAAGCTCTGGTGAGAGTAACAGGTAAAATTTCAAAACTCCATAATTTAACAGAAGCAGGATTCCTCCCCCTTCCCACATTATAGTGTGACACAGAATGTGCGGCAGGAATTTAGATGGGCAACTCAGCTGGTCCATTTGTGGCTTTGTACATAATTTCAGGGCATAACTCAAAGAAAAGAAAAGGGATCTGTACATGACCAAATAATGGGCAGAGCTTGAGCAACTCATATGGCAACTTGTAAGTGCCATATAAAAAATAAATTACTACTAAATAGGCATATAATTTCAGTTTTGCGTTCAGGTCTCTCCAAGAACAGCCTCTTATAGCTGAGAAGGAATATCTGAAGATTTGTGGAATACAATTAATCTCAAGTTGTGCTGAATACAAACCCACTTCAACTCTCTTGCCAAACAAATTTGATTAATGAGGTGCTCTAACAGCTGGTTAGAGACTGAAGCACACAACTATTCTGAAGCTGGACTGAACAACAAAAATCAACATTTTAAAAACCCACCTAAATAAAATAAGGACAATCTACAAATTTATCTTATTTCTGTTAAAACAGAGACTTGTTTCCCTAAATACATATGTGTCTAGTGTAGAGCTTGTATCTGGCCAGCTCTTCATCAAGAAGGGAACAGATTAACAGATTGCTTCTAGCTATTTGAGTGCTTAATTTTAAATTTTTATGTTGTTGTTGTTCCTTTTACATTTTTTGTGTGGCTGTCTTGACAGATTAGAAGATTTGGCAAAAATACTTCTTGATTCTTAGAGAGGTTGGCCGTCCGGTGAGATTCATCCACACACTCTCCTGAATACAATAGTTTTACAACCCACAGCCATGGGGTGGACAACCTTTTCCTTTTCCTTGCTATACCTTTCCTTGCAACCTTTCCATATCTGATGCCATTTTGGCTGGACAGATTTCACGTGGCTTTCCACAGTGCGTGTGCATGTGTGTCTGGATAATGTAGTCTTGGAAAACTGTCCAACTTCAGTTTTACGAAGAGTTAGGTCTAATAACTCTGGTGGGATTCCTACTTGAAAATGGCTACTTTTCTTATTGTCAGGCACTTGTGAATGGTATAATAGAAGCATCCAGAGTCTCAAAGGAAAGAGTAGTGAAGACCATGAGGGGAAATTGTTTGACATATGAGACAACATTACCTCTTGGGACAGCTAAAAGCTGTCTTCACTTTGACTCATTCTGAAAACCAGCCTGTTTTCTTTTTGACTTTGCAAGTTTTTAATTTATTGTTAACATGACTGATGGCGTTGTCAGATGCCTAATCCCTTCACCATCAGAACAGCAAAATTTTCAGAGCCTCAGCTAGTACATTTCTATTTTATAGCTCTAGTTTTAGGTCCAGAAATCTGTCCACATTTCTACGTGCACCTTATTTAGATATCAGAGAATCAAGCTGATCATCAGAAGAGAAGTCAGTCTGTGATACCAGAAACAGAGGCTACCGCTTGCTTTCATTGGAAAACATATTATCCTATTCTTATAGATGGCAACCAATGGTCATCTTTCTTTTTGTCAAATGTACAAAATTCAGTGAGAGTGGCCATGTGTGAATATAGTCAATTGTCTTGAGAAGAAACAGAAAAATAAAGTGAGAAGACAGGTAATTATCTTATGAAAGTAACTAAAGTACATCAGACTTTCAAAAATAGCAAGCTAGCTCAAAATATGAAATCACAGGACTGCCTGTGGGGGACTTCTCTGGGAAAAAAATCAGTTAGATGTTATTTTAAGATTTACATGTAATTCCTCTACCCACAGAGTAGCAAAATACAAATGTGTAGCCGTTTATTATTTCAATATCATAATGAGAAAAATATCTGAAAACATGGTGCTACATGATACTACATGAATGTGTGGTTGTACAGACTATAACCACAGAGATTCAGAACAAAACTGGAACATTATAATGCAAGAGGGGAAAAAGGAAAAGGACACATAAAAGCTACTCTAACTACAACTAGGAAAAAAAATCTGCAAAAGATCATTGAAAACACCTATGCAATCATAGAAATACTTGGGAGACTGCTAAAGTTTGGTATTGGAAGCTTACAGAGGTGAATGCTCATTAAACAAAATTCGGCACAATATCCTCAGCCGCACTATATGCTCAGAAAAAGGCAGCCCTGAGCCACCCCTCTTTCTCTGGCCACACAGAGCTGCAATGGGAATATTGTGACCCTGAGTAGCAATAGTTCAAAGTCTGAGTGCTGAGCCCAAAATCTGAAGGCTGAGCTCAGCCACACCAGGTGCACCTGCTCTGTAAGGATCGCTTCTCTGAGCAGTGCCTGGGAGGGCTGTGTTTTCAGCCCTGCCTAAACACATCTCTGCAGTGTAGGAAGGAGCTTCAGAGAGAGGATTTGTGGCAAGCAGCAGGCTCCCTTGCTCTGGTGATAAAGCAGCCTGGGCATTGAAATAAGCAGGATAGATGTCGGGATAAGGTGTTTGTCAAGGTAAGAACTTCATTTGAGGAAGCTGTGAAAGGATTCCAGTGAGACTCCTCCAAGAATGATGTTTTTTACCAGGAAACCTCAAACCTAACTTCTGCAGAACCCCAAAGATCTAGGAAGAATCAAAATCAATTACACAGCTTCAGCACCCTGCATTAGCTCAATGAATGACTTCGTGGTCACAGAATCACAGAGGTCTCCGTCCTCCCAAATTACACGGAGCTGGAATGGAGGAAGTGCTCCTCTCCATTTCTCAATACTAACTTCTCCTCAAAACCCTCTGTTTCCTAGCCTGCAGGCAGAATCCAGAATGTACTGGCAGCTGTGTGGAAAAGGTAACTAACCATGCTTTCTGTGGAAAGGGAAGGTGAGCACCCATTCATGTTCAAATGCTGTGATATGGGCAGTCTGGGCAAGAGGAAGGAAAAAGGAAAACACATGCCCCTGATTGAAAACCCCTGCTCATATTGCTGGTTAAAAAACTACAGGTGAACAGAGACATAAGGAAAAAATGCAGGAGGGAAAAAAAAAAAAATCAAGACATGAAAAATTTATACTAGGCAAGAAATTACATTACCTCCAAGGAAAGACAGCACCTGGAGCTAGGTTCATGTTAATTTGGGGAGCATAAAGGAACTCATCACACCTTGTCTAGAAGGCCATTTACCTCCAAGGAAAGACAGCACCTGGAGTTAGGTTCGTGTTAATTTTCGTTCATAAGGATACAGCAGCTGAGAACAATGGCCATTAGTATCTGGTACACATGCTTTTGTATAAAGTTAAGAAGGGATCATTTTGCCCTGTGCATCTTTTAAGTTCACTCTTGACAAAAAGTTTTATACCAAATCCAGAAAAGAAAAGGCATGTTCTTCTTCAAATACTGCTGTATTCTATCTGTGGAAAAACCTGGAGAATATGCATATATTCCTTGGCCAAATGGTTAACAGGAAAACAGAATTATGTGAAAGTGTTTGAATCATGTAAGCTAGAAAAAAGTGGAGAGAAACAAATGGACATATTGTCTGAGATGGCTATATTACATATAAGAAAAGTCAAACACAAGAAAAGATAAACTCTACTACCAGAGGGAGTAATTGCAACAACAACAAAGGCAAAAGTAATTTCTCAAGTAATTTCAATTCCATCACATTGATCACTTTAAAAAGCCAAAGCATGGCAAGCAGATACATTACTTTCTCTTGTTGATCTTTTACATTTTTCTGTGCTTATCACCTAATTTTACATCAACAGTCAACTGCAAATGGGAAAGCAAGAGTCTGTGTCACCTGTGAACGATCTATTGTCCTTGTCACAAAACCTACTTGCATAATTTATGTTAGGTGTAACATTCCCATTCTTCCCCTATGCACGTAATGATCATTCTTTCTTTCATACCTTCATCTTGGCTCTTTCTAATATTTCTCTTATGATCTTCTTTCTTTTAAATAGAACCTGAATTAAAAGGGTCTATTGCTCAGCCTAAGAACTGTAACTTTTGGTCTCAGAATAAGAAAATATACCAAGAAGCAAGGCATTGTCCACTTAGCACAATTTGAAAACATGCTTATTTTAAAGGATTTTTAAATATAAAAATAAAAGAATCTTTCATGAGCAATCATATAGCTTCCAGGAGTTCAAGCTACCCTTAGCTCACATTTTGTGAGATCCTCTCTGACTATTTCACAATTTTCACAGGGCTAGCTAGACCTGGACTGTCTCTCTATTCTTGCCCTCTTCACAGTGCTGAAATTGTCTCCATTCATTACCTTCTAACACCTGGATTTCATTTACTTTCATTTAGAACAAGTGCAGAAGGTTAAGACAAATGTCTTAACCGGTTAAGACAAATGTCTTCCCTATCCTTTTTTTTTTTCTGGATGGTACCTGAACAATTGTCACAACCAGTCAAATAACTGACTCATCTTCCAACCACCGAATGCAATCTCAGAACAAGGTCTTCACTTCTGTTTACTTTTCTTTTGCCTCTACTGTTATTATACTTTCCAAAAGTGTTTTCATCCAGCAGAAAAACAGAAGTGCCCATAACAACATCCTTCTTTGGAATTCCTGCACTTTCTTCACACAGCCGAATTATAGAATAGTTTATGGTCAATAAGATCTGTCTTCAGATTTCACCCAGGCCCTATTTTTCTATCTTGCAGCAGCCCAGCATAGTTTTTTTCTCTGTCATATAAAAGGAGTTGTAACAAATAGCTCCCATTGTGATTGCTGGTTTTAGCACATTTAAGGAAGCAGCACAGGTACCACACTGGTAACCACAGTGAGTACTGTGGTTGATAATGGCAGTGCTAACAAAGATGAATCATCAGCAGTGAAAGCAGGTCAAAAAAACCACACACACACACACACACACACACACACACACAACCCTACACAATCTGAAACAAAACCAAAAGGAACTCACTCCATCAGAAAGAACATCCAGGGAAAGAGATATGAGTGTAACTGGGAATGTATGCCTTGTAACATACTCTGCTTTGAACACATTGCTCACAGTATGGACTCGCCCTCATGATCTGAAAATATTTTATTGAATAATGTGATACTCAGATTTTTCAATGAAAATTTATGGTTTTGTTTATTTTTCTCACTGCTTCAAATGATGGTTGTACACCTTCCTGTAAAACAGGTTTTCAAACACCAGAAGTTCTTATGAATCCTTGTGGGGTTCTGCATTTCACATTTTCTTAACTCTTGTCCCACTAGAAGAAATGATTGCCAGGGTAATGATTATTTTTATTTGTGCTTTCCAACTATCTACCATTCTGGACATCCAAAATCTGCGGGGACTTTCATGTGAATGCCTTCATACAAACCACGTCCATCACCCCCCACTGACAGCAAAGGCAAGAAACACACCACCATAACGCACAGGACAGAACAAAACAAAACAGAACAGTGCTTCAGGACAGGAATGATTCCCTTGAACTGCTTCCCACCCTGTGAGAAGGAAAAGAGGGTGAGTTTTAGTCTTTTCTTCTAGCTAAGGAGAAATAATCAAGCTAGCTGCTACACCATCGAGTATTGCATAGGAAAATAGAGGGAGACTTTGCCAATGGACTGGCTGGCTCACTGCATTTTGAGAGCTTTATGAATTCTTAAAAAGCTCTTCCCCTCAGAATGACTTCAGGTGAACAGCACACAGTGCTGGCAGTAGCATTCGACCCTCCTGTTTGGGTATTCTACTTCAATACAAGATGGGCATGGAAATGAAAGAACAACCACAGTGGCTTTTGAGGAAGAAGTCACCTTCTTTTTAACTTCTCAAGTGTCAAGGCTCAAACAACTGGAGGGCTATTCCACAACCATCCTCTCAGTCAGCCAGACAGCTGGGAAATATTACTGTTCCTCAGAAGGAGAGGGCTGTTACTGCAGTGGCCCTCTTGCTACATCCTTCATCTTCACATCTTCTATGAAAAATAAGTTATGGACTGTATTAACTAGTTTATTTTCCCTAAGCTTCAGCATAATGATCCAACTAACAGCTGTCCATCACCTTTTGTCTCAATAGCAGAGAGCAACTCCAACCCTTGCCTTCATTTGGGAAATGGCAGATAGGAAGAGATAGAAATCAAAATGAACACTACAGCCCAGTGTTCAAAGCTGTTAAGTTTTCTTAAGAACTCCCAATGTAAGAATACCCAGAGTACCTTAAACTTCACAAGGATCAAGGGTGTTCTGAGAGGAGAAAATACATTGAGATTTTAGAACACTGTGCATGTCTGTGAGTTAAACAAATCAGAACTACCTACAAATAAACAATAGTTTTCCTCTTGGTGAACTATACTGCTTCCCTAAGCATTAAGAGTCATAGTGTGTTCACTATCAGCCAGGCACCTATCCTGTCACTGTACATTCACAGTAGAAAACCCTCTTTCCAGTGTGTGTTACTCAGAAACGTCCTAAATCAGACTGACTCTCTGCCCTTCTATGTTCTAAGGTGAATTAGGAAAGGGTCTGTTATAGGATGATACAGGCCATTCTTTTGTAATGGTCTGCAGTTTTCTCTCCCAATACATTTTCTTTTTATTTAGCACTTCCATTTTTATCCTGTGTTCTTCTTCAGCCATCTCACACTCTCTTTCTATTTGCTGTATCTTTGCCACATGAACTTCATTCATTTGGATTAACTGGAGCTGCAAAATCGACATTTGCTGATGATGCTCCTCCTCGTGCATCTTTTTCAGAGCACTTTCCTGAGTTGCTTTACTTCTGTAGTTCTTATCTGCTGCTATTCTGACATCAGAACACGAAGGCTCAGGCTGGGAGGTGCCTTCACATACTGGAAAATGTACCAGCTCTTTGTCTTCATCACAAAGTTCTCTGTTTGACACAACAAATGACTCTGCAAACCAAAGAAGAAAGTGTTATAGCATTCTCTTCCAGTATAGTATAGTATTCTTCAAGAAACAGAAATGTGATAAGTTACTGATATGTGCCTCTAAACCTTGTGCTCCAGTAGCAAAGCACAGGAGCCACTACATAATGCAGTTATGCTGCAGAATACTAAGGGCATAAGGGGCTGAACAGAACCACTTGGGGCTCTGTTGAAAGACCTCCAAGGCTATAGTGGGAGTTCAGAAGACCAAAGTGAGAGCACACTTTTAAGTAGACACCTAAATTTAGGTGGCCGAGCCTGGAGCTAAACCTGAATTCAGCCATTTAAGCTAAATCCATATGTGACTTGCAATATTTGGTGAAATATCTGAGCGTCAGGTGAAGCTGTGTCAACATGTATATCAAAAGACAGAGGAAGCAGTAGGAAGAACACGTCTTATTCTTTCCTTATTTCTGCTGCAGATGTAAATACAGTAATGTATATTTTTAGGAAAAAATCACATTATTCTAACTTCGAGACGTCTCTACCAATTCTTCTGAAATAAGAGACTATGCAGGGAAAAGAATAGTTACCAGTGCAAATGAGGGTCTCAAAATACTTTCCTATCCAAATCCGAATGACTAATTATGGTAAATACAATTATGAAAGAGGCATTCTAAGAATGTTATCTAACAATGTAGCTGCTGTTGTCTTTTGAGCAAGGACAGTGTTCTGTGTGAGATCCTGACATAATAAAATTTGCAAGAAACTGTTGTAGCCACCCTCCCTCCTGGTATTGAATTATTCCTTCTGGGTATGCTTGCCAAACAAAAAAGAATGTAGTGCGGAACTTTTTCAGAAAGGCCATTCTCCAGTGTGGACTGCAGCATGAAATATGGCTCCACATACTCTTTTTAGTCCTTGAAAACAAAGAGGGAAAGACCACTGGGAACTCTTGCAGCAGGCAATTGTGTATCAATTTGCTGCTGGTAGTTTTTTGCCTTTTTTTTTTTTAAACCAGCAAAATGATACTTTAAAAATGATAAAGATATCCTTGGGACTGTTCTCTAGAAAGCCAGCATGATAGCAACTGTGATGTTTGCCACAAAGCAGCAGATATGTCAAAAACAGATAAAAAAAATCTGTAAAAAACCTCACACCCATTTAACTCCTGTAGGCCTCGGGAAATACACACAGCCTTGTAATATCATAGCTCTGAAATTACTTTTCTATATCCAGCAGTCACAGCTAAGTGGAGAGATTTGAAAAAGGATCACTGGCAAAATCACATACAAAACAATACCACTTGCATCATTACAGCAACATTTATACCTTGACTAGAAGCATCAGGCTGATATTCAGAGTCTTCTTCTGGTGGGCTCTGCAAAAAGTACATTTGCTCAGGCATTATGCTTCCCATCTTCTCTTTCCCTACGATGTGAGTATTTATAAGTGGACTAATACTTCTTTTTACCTTCTCCCGCCTTTCATGTGCCATTATCTTTTTTGTCCGTGCCTTGATATTTTCCCAGCATTTCTTTAACTGTTTGAAGTCTCGCAGTGATACACTGGGCTGTGAGTTATATTCATGAGCTAGTGCTTGCCAGGTGCGTTGTTTCAGAGCAATAGTTCTTGCATCACTTTTTTTACATTCAAGCACGTATTTGTATTTTTCGACTAATGCAAGCAGCACACTCTTCTCCACTTCTGAGAAGTATTTAGCAGGCTTTATTATTTCGTTTTGCATTTTCTACTGTTTCTTCAAGAAGCCAAAATTCCTATGGAAACAATGATGAAAGAAGAAAAAAAAAAAAAAAAAACAAACACAAGTTAGAACGTGTTGCAGTATCAGATTCTGATCAATTTTGTTTTCTAAAATAGCTTGTGAGTAGTTCTAGAGTACATAATGGAATGAACAGGTAAGATAAAATACAATTACATGATAGTTTGTGTTGCCACCTTAGTGGATACACGGTGCCAGAAGTAAACTTTAATGAATAGTAGTTTTTGTTACAATTTGTCTGGATACAAAACACTCAGTATTTACTTAGTATTTTGCTTTTGATTTTTTAAAATTTTTCTTATTTTCCTGTTCATTGCACTTTTTCACTCCCAGAATTTTTCCAAGCCCTCAAGTTAGGAACAAATTTCAAAACCCAGCCCTCACTAGCTTCAGGTTTATGTCTAAAGCCACCTTCAGCATGTTTGGGTTTTCTTTGGTATAAAAAATACCCTCTTCTGTCCTTGCTGATTGCGTATAATTAATTTCTCCCATCTCTCTCCAATATTTGAAAGCTGTATGACCAATGACAGTAAGAAGTTTTCTTTTTAAAGACCTGTCAGCTCCGTTCTCCCCCATGCTCCATCCCCTCCTGGCTGACACCCAATAGGCAGTAGGATCCTGACCTGTATTACAATATTGAGAAGCAGCAAGAGTTGCAAGGAGACAAGAAATAACAACAGAAACCAACCACGTGGAAGGTACAGGTCCTTCGCCCTTGACTGCTGGCCCTGCACATGTGGCACTTCCTTGCACTTGTGCTGCTGGTCACTCAGGAGCCAACAAACAGGCTAAAAAGAGTTTTGGCCTTAACACAGCCACTGCTACACACTCACACCATGTCAGCAACCACCTCTTTTCTCAAGCCCAGCACTTATATAGGCAATAGGAAAATGGTAGCTGATAACAAGGATTCCTGGCCATTACAAAAACCCCAAAAAACAACAACAAAAAAAAGCCAAACAAACAGTGCTGCCTTGAGTTAACAACTTATGACTGTGAAACAAAATATGTTTTTTCTTCTTCTATCTTTTCACACTTTTCTCCCCCTTCCTTTCTGCTGTAACTGTGTAGCCCAAATTACTTTTAGATTTTGGGCAGAATGCTCCCTTAGCTATCATTTATTTTGTTTTTAATCATTAAACCCAGTGATAAAACATTTATAAGATAACTGGTTATCATTTATAAGATAACTGGTTCATATTCCTAACAGTCTAGGACTCTCCCAAAATTAATTTTCTAGTCTTTTGCCTATTATTTCTACTACTTCTCTTATAACATTCCTTGATGGTGCACTAGATACCACCATCAGGTTTCCTCTTCTCAATATATTTTTCCTTAACTCCACTGAACTAGGACTTTCCTTGTGCCATCCTTGTAGTTCCTTTCCTCCAAACATCTTAGTACTTACAGTTATTCCCATCTCTTTCAGTAAAGGTACTGAAAGTACTTATATTTATAAAGAAAGCTAACAGACAAGCTAATACCAAAATGAAAACCCAAGCCTGACATAAAAACAGCGGCTCTCTTGAGTAGCCCATAAAATACGACAAAGCCCAGCTGTCCTGGTTTCAGTGGGGACAGAGTTCATTTTCTTCCTGGAGGCTGGTACAGTGCAGTATTTTGGATTTAGAGAGAATAATGCTGATAACACATGGATGTTCTAGTTGATGCTCAGTGGTGCTTATTCCAAGTCAAGAATTTTCAGTTCCCCATGCCCTGCCAGAGAGCAGGTGCACAAGAAGCTGTGAAGGAACACAGCCAAGGAAGCTGATCCAAACTGGCTAAAGGGATATTCCACACCATAAAATGTCACGATCAGTGTATAAATGAGGAGGGAGTTGGCCGAGACCTGCAGGTGGTGAGCAATCATATTGTGCATCATTTGTTTCTCTTTTCTTCCTCTCTCTCTCCCCCCCCCCCCCCCCCCCCCCCACCACCCCACTCCTTCCTACTTC